TTTTTTTCATATACTTCCCCAAGAGGCAGGTTTAAGGTTTGGTGTAAAGTGAGGACTCAGCAAGTACTGATGATTGCCAAACTATGATTACTAAATTGAAAGAAATAAATGGCACCATGTATTTACTCTTAGGAAACACAATGTTTATTGAAATGGCATGTAGATAAATTATCACCAACATAAAACAGTTAGTGGAGTTTTCAACATGGGTTCTTTTTTCTCTTAAAATGAAGTATGGCTTTACGAGTCCATTGTCCCATATGAAAAATATTATATTTATCATTCAGATAAAGTCCTTTAAAAAAGTAAATTCACTTTTGAAATGGTCTTTTAAACGTCTCCAGCCTATGACCAAAACAAAAATATATTAAAAACATATAATTGTCTCCATTTAAAAAGAATTAAATATGAATAATTAGGGGTGATACATTTGGAAAAATACTTAGGCATTTGAAATGCTAGAATTTATTCCTAATTTTACTAAAATTTACTAATTTTATTAGTATGTACTAAAATATTTAAGGCATAATTTTTAAAAATTGCCAAGATAAAACAACATGTGGTCATTAAAATGTTAAAAAATGTGGCAATTATTTCATATATACCTAGGACATATGCTAAAATGTTATCTCATCAAATAAATAAATTTTAAATAATTCAAAGCTCAGTAATTTGGGAATACAATCCAAAGTAAGTTATAATTTCCATTTAAGGCTAAGTATCCTTAATATCAGACAAAATTGATAAATATGGTAAGAGAAAATGAGAAAGAACTTTCAGAAAAGTTCCTGAAACATTGTGGGTTAATAGAAATGAAAAATTCATTCTCAGAGTAAAATGATTTATTCCGCTTCTATTTCAACATGGTGCTCTGGTCTGACCTGTTTGGATCCCCCAATGTGGTGCTGCTGCCCACCGTCCGCGTTGACTCTGTTGAATGGAATTATCTTCATGGTGGTTTTCTTCATGGAATACCAACGAGATTTCCAAGTGGCCCAAATAATGCCATTATCATAGCCATTTGGTGTAGATGTCTTTGAGTAAGTGCCACCTAAGACAAATTGGACATATCATTGCTCTTGGATTTCCTTACCTCAGAGAGTCTATAAAGAACTGTCATTTATAATGACCATTGTCACATCAAATTTATAGTGTTATCAACTAACTGAAAATATCCCTAAAGACCACTAAAATCTCAATTTATATTTATAATAAATGGATTATTAAACAACTAGAGGCCCTGTGCAT